GGACAAGCTTTGAAATAGAACCAGAGCAAGCCTGTCCTGGCAGGATAGCAATGGTCCAATGTTCATTTATGCACTTTCAAATACAAAGGAAACTGTGAATGGAATTCCAGCTTTATTCAGACAACTTTTTAAGCTACAAAGAGATCCCCAAAAATCAGTTTTATCCCCAAGATTTCAATTAAAATATTGTCAAATCTTCTTTTTAGTGAGTTCTAACAAAACAAGTGAAAAAGAATGACTTTGTAGCAGGCTACATCAAATGCAGTCTCAATAGTCCACAATAACCCTTACTCAGAGATGCTTAGAATGCAAAGTTACAAAGACAGCTTTATTTCATTCCTCACCCTATCCATTACTCCAAGCAGTTCAGAAAGTACAGAAGGAGATACAAGAGATAATCAGAGCAGTGATGTCAGCAGTATCTGAATAACCTATTATGGGAGACCTCTCCTATTGATCTGCTAATAGCCTCTTCAAACAGACCTCACACTCCAGGAACAGGAGAGTGGTGGAAAAAGGGTCCCAGTCAGAAAGCAATTACATTAGCTGGACATGAGCTCACTTGTTTTTCAAGAAGATAGAGCTGCTTCTCAGGTCAGTGTGCACCTTGGCTTTTATTCATCTCACAATACAGCTTTGTCCTCTACGACCAGGTTTTGAGGGCAGACCTTTCAAAAAGTGGGACTCGGCACCAATTCGCAGCAAATTCATAGCACTGCCATCGCATGACATGGTGTGGCAACGTAGCTCGGAAGACAGCTCCCTCCTTCCCCACGGAAACTTGTCTGAGCCACACAGCTCAAGCTGTCAGCTCTGTGTGCTTTACTTCATGGACTTCTTTTAACATTTTCTTTTCCATTTCACATCTTCAAAGTTCACATTACAGAGAAGAAAAGCAGTCATTCCCATGAAATCTCTGCTTCTGCATCTGTCAGAGACAGACACCTTCTGCAACACAGTCAAGCATTCTGCCCATTCTTGCTCCAAATAATACAGGATTTACAGCTCCTGCCATTTCCATTAGTCTGACAAATTTATCAACAGCCTCATTTCTGACATCTTCCCACTTCTTCCAGCATAACACAAAAAGAGTAGCAATTTTCTGTGAACATCTGAAATTTGGAAGCATTTAAAAGTCCAGAAGAGGGCTTTAAGAAAGCTGGCAAGGTTGTGAGAAACATGCCAGACATCTGTAAATCTCTGGCTCACTTTGTTTTCACCTAGAATTTATTCACAAAGTGGGCAGCCTGTTACTGCATCTCCTGCCAATACCTGGCTACAGTCAAACACGCCTGCAATTTAGGGGCATAGACTTAATTATACCAGTAAATTAAAGCATCCATTTTCTCTGACTCTAGAAGAATAGAAAGTATCTGGGCAAAAAATACAGGCTGACACATATTTGCTTTCCAAGCAGTATAACATCTACAGCTTTCCAAAACAACCACTCATGTAACACATAGTATCCATAATAGACTCCTTAAGTATCTAATTTGTGGTGGGATAACAAGTAAAATGCTTCAGGCTTGTGCACAGGCACTTTCAAAATACATAGTCTAATCCTTTCTCTGTGACACATGCTGCTTTTGTGTATACAACCTACAACCTTCTAGTGGCCCCAGTTGCAATGAAGTCACAAAATTTCTCAAAATAATTCAGTTCTGGCACAAGGACCAGACAACATCAGATTAAATTACCCCAGGGAATGCTGAAACAGTTGCTCTCTATTCACTCTCCCTATTCTGCCTATGGCTGTACTGAGTTTGGTCAGAGGCCCCACTCAAATATTTATTTTTTTGGAGGAAGGGCCCTGCTCTGATCACTCATTCTTCAAATGGAAGCCTGCCCATACCTTTGACTATTTACACTGCCCTTCTTCATATGCTTTTTAATTCTGGGGTTTTTTTCAGGGAGAAACAGGACTGCACTCAACATTCAAACACAGGTGGATAATTGGCATGGGACAGCAAGGATATCTGCAATAGCAACACTAATTCCTAATATCAGTTGGCTTTTGATCACAAGTATCAAGATGATGTTTAGAAGTGTTTAAGCTCAAATTGTTTCTTCTGAAGAACAAGAAGCACCTTCAGGGCCCATCATCATTTACAGAAATTCTTCCCATGGGACCAAATCAAGTTTGTCCACACCAGACATCAGCCAGTTTATCATGAGGTCTCTCACTACTTCCTCAGCTTCGTTTTTAACCTCAACAGCTCAGTATCACCAGCATCATTTATCAGCTGTCAAACTTGTATCCCACCACTTGCTTCTAAAACTCCAGAATTACCACATTTCACAATAACAGGCAAAACCTGTCCTGGATAGCATGCTAAACTTATTTTTAAAAATCTGCAGAAAGGTAAAAATAGCACATGACAAAGTTGAATGAGTCACAAAAGTCAATATTACTAAACACAAGCTGAGAGGAATCCACCAAATTATGTAGGCACCATGACATCCCTAAATCATCTATTACCACTCAGGAAACCTCACAGTATCAGAAATCCTATGGGATGAAGTAGTGAACAACCAGAGAGGCCTTTTCATGCCATGACACAAAGCCATGGTGCTCATGTATCACCCCATCCTAAAGATTACAAGGAGCCTAGAGAAGGCTAACGCAAAAATCAGATTTATGGAATATATTCCATAAGACACTAAGCACAGATGGATCTTCAGCCTCAAAAAAAGAAGGAATCTAAAGCAGTATAAAGCTAACTGACAGGTGGACATGGAAAAGTTATTCGCTAGTTTCTCAAGTAATTGGGGATTAAGGAGATGTACATAGAAATATACCAGTTAAATGAACAGAGGCAAATAAAAGCTAAGAGGAGGGAAGGCCTTTTCCATGTGTTTTGTAAATAAGCAATGGAACTCATTATCACAGAATGTTAGAAAGGTTAAGAATAAAAGCAGGTCCCAAAAGGAAAAAGCAAAAAAAAAAAAAATCAATGGCCTCACTGATCTTCTGGCACCAAGAGGCACAAAGCTGACACAGAACTAGAGAAGCAAAATAAAAGGGAGAACTTTCACCAAAAAACCCCCCCAAAAAACCCAAACCACCACACCGCTTTTTCAAAATAAACAACTGTAAGGAGAGGAGAAAAAGGAACAGCCAAGACAAACACAATGGGGTGAGCTAAAAAGGATCAAACCTGAGTTTGGACAAGGCATCTAGAAAGCTCTGAACTCTGCTATCTAGAGGCCAACATTCAGGCTGAGCCAAGGCATGCACTTGAAGGTGCATGCACTTGAAATGACTTCCACTACACAACAAGCGTCAAAGTGAACTGGCCTTTTCACACAAGAAAAATCAGTTAACATAGCTGCTACCACCAGTTATAAGGTAAACTAGGTAACTAGGACTTTGGCCTTCAGTGTGACCCTGCAGACGTTACATGCTGCTGGTAATTAATCTATTTCTGCATTAGGAAAACCCAACTACATTCTTAAAACTCTGCAACTGCTTAACAAATCATATTAACACAGCGAGTTAACAAAAGAAGCAAAGGCTGCCAAAGTCAGCTGAAGCTGGGAGTTCAAAGAAGCAGCTGATAAAACGCTTCAGTTTCTGAAGGAAATAACACACTTGGTTAAGAAAGTGCCAAATTTGGGGGTTTATGACTTTTGTGTCTCTTCTGCACACCAGGGACTTTCTGAGGAGCACATTAACAAGATTCACAAAGATATCAAATCTGGGCTCTCCTCGGTGACCTCCTGTGCAAACACCAATACTCCTTAGCTTCATTTAACTTGGATATTCCAACTAGTAACACAAGCTGACCTGATGGCTTTAAAGTATAAAAGACTTATTGACACCTCTGAAAATCCTTCAGTGTGATTTATTTTAAACAGAATTATAAAGCAGCTTAATATGTTTTAAAACTTAACATGTTAGACTGTTCCATCCATCATTAAAATGCCAACATACCTGTCACACCTAAAAAGATGAGAACAATCATTGATTTAGTCTGAGTTTTTTGACAGCTATTTTACTGTCTTTTCAGAATCATAAACTTAGCCACTCATTAACACTTTCTCAGTGGGCTTCACCTCACAAAGTCATGGTGTTGAGGAATCTAAACACTTTCCTCTCTTATTAAGAGAGGAGAAGTTATAAAAGCTTCATTTTTTAAATATTTCCAGTGAGGGATACAGGCAGAAGCACGACTGGCAAATTTGGATACCTCCACTTTCTATTATGTGTGATTCTTAGTGAGCTTATGCCTACACTTGGCAATTGTGCTGGTAAAGGAGCTAGCTGGTAACCAAGATCTCTCACCATGACCAGAAGCAATTTAGCAGGAGTTGTGTCAGCTTGGCACCTGGCATTCTGCGGCGTGATGGGACTCCAGGAGGGTAGGGGTACCCATCTTCTGCTTAAAATCTATTCCCAAAGGTTCCTCTTTCCATAGTTATCTAAGAAAACTACCCTCCAATCCTCAATTTTGTCACACACTAAGCTCAGGAGACAATGCAGACCGATCTCAGAAATGCTTATGTCTCCAGATTTAAGAAGCAAGTGCCCCTTTGTCTGCCACACCCTTGTCTTTCAGCAAAGATATTTTTCAGACTACATTTGGATTTGTATGAAAAAGTAAACTAGGTATGTACACACTACATTTCAAATACTCACCCAAGCACAAGTTTCAGTGCTGAAGCATCAAACAGCAGCTTACCACGGCAGAGGTCTTCCCAGCTAGAAACCCACAAGCATCCCAGTTTTGTCAATCCCTCCCTTCTTGTTCTACAGGAAGAGATCCCTTCTTTAGATACACAGTTTTTTAAAGGACCTCACTATGCTGCACTGGAGGCAGTTTTGGAAGCAGACAGAAAACAGGAAAGGGTTTTAAAAAACAGAATCACAGATTACTTTTTTTTAACCCTGGTAATGTTACCACGCTGCACAAAACAGCCAGCTTCTGGTCATCACAAAGACCCACCTATGGAGAGCTTCTTGCTTGACTTTGCCTTGTTACAAGGCTCAGCACACTCACCTCGCCTGAGTAACTGTATTTCCCTTTCAGGATCTGCCGATACAAGCGGGTACGGTTGTCATCTTCAAAGGGCATAGTGCCACTCAGGAGAATGTATGATATCACACCCAGCGCCCACATGTCCACAGAGTTCGTGTAGGGCTTCCTGACCAGGATCTCAGGAGCAATGTACTCTGGGGTCCCGCACGTGGTTTTCATCAGGCAGTCGTCTCCCTTCTTCCGAGCGCTTGCCAGTCCAAAGTCCGTAATCATGATTTTGGAATCTGTTCCTGGATGATAGTACAGCAGATTCTCTGGTTTTAAGTCCCGGTGCGTGATCCCCAGCGTATGCAAGTACTTCACACCATCTAACACCATCTGCAGCACCCGCGTAGCATCTCTCTCGGTAAAGGAACCTTTAGCAATGATTCGATCAAACAGTTCTCCTCCAGTTGCCAGTTCCATCACCATGTACACACGATCCTGGGTCTCAAACACCTCAATAAGCTGGATGATATTGGTGTGCCGAACCCGTCGTAGCACACTGAGCTCTGACTCACACACCTCCCTCCCCTCCCGATATTTGGTCTCTATCATCTTGATCGCATAGGGCTGCTTGGTAGCCTTGTGTTCCACCCGTACAACACGGCTAAAGCTCCCTCTCCCGATCAGGGCTTTAATGTCATACTTGGCTGTCACTCTGGGGTCAAATTTGGCACGGTATTTAGCCACTTTGTTCTTGCGGGGCTCAGGCTGGTCCACGTGGGCAGGCAGGTGGTTCCCGGGATAGGGGTTAGCGTGACGGGGAGGCGAGGGAGAGCCTGTTTTGATGACAGTCCCACAGTCATCTTTGATGAAATGCTTGTATATGTCATTATGGCCTGTGTAAGGTTCGACTTTTTTAACCAGGTCTAGCTGCACATCTTTAGGGGGCTCGGGAAGCACTTTGCTTGTCCCACAGCCCATCACTGAATGGTGTTAATTCCCTATCAAGGCATTTTCCCAGGGCAGCATCAGCAGCAACAACATCCAGGGCAATTCCCAGATTTGAACCTTAGGAAAAGAATGAGAAGAAACAGATAAACAGAAATCAAGGTAGCAAGTGGTTCACATCTCAATGGAGCCCTGCTACCACAACTAAGAGTTTGGGATTTTCACTGTACTGCACTACAGAGCATGTGCAGTGCTTTGCTGCTTTCATCACACGCTAGTGAACAGTGCCTACACAAACACACTCACAGACAGAACAGATATCTGTGAAAATCAAACAGTATCTCTTTTTATTAAGCATAGTTTGTTTTACACTTCTAGTGGAGCACTGAATCAGTGTCACAGAATGGCTGAGGCTGGAAGAAACCTCTGGAGGTCATCTCATCCAGCCTAACTGCTTAATAAAAACCCAATTAAGGAGAGAGTCAAGCATTTTCTTTGATTTTGTTTAATCTGCTCAACTTCCTAAGACAGCAGCCACTCCATATCTTATAGTTCTGAATTTTTTCACTAGAAACTCCATAAAGTATCTCAGCAACTTGTTCATTTAACAAATCTTCCTAAGATTTTCTTTATATTGAAGCTGTACCAATGTCTTAAACCTCTCCCTACTGTGCTTCTGGGGATCAAGGAAACTGCACAGGAGGCAGGGAATAAGGAGATAGAGGCACACTCTTTTTTAAGGTGCATTTTACTGATTAACTCACTCCATCCTGTGCAAAAAGGCAGCCCTTATTGAACCAGAACAGCTTTTAGCTAACAATTCCATCACCCTACAAACCCAAAGAAATCAAGGTGGGCTTTGACATATTTTAACATCCTGACTCAGCTTTGCTTTTTTCTGCATCTTCAGGTACCAAATGGCACTTCCGGTTTTCCATATGGAGCTGCATGTAGGAATGGGAATTTCTACCAGCTGTTCCAGCCTAGAGCAAAGGGAGGTCTTGCTCATCACACTGTATTCCAACAGAACCAAATCAGCTGCACTTCAACAAGTCTTTAGGTGCTGATTAAAACAGTATGACTGGCTAGGAGATGGAGAAACTGCCTGTATGTGCTCTGGCAGTTAGCCAAGCAGTTTTAATTTCTACTCTTTGGCTCAGAGCCCATCAATATGGTGCCTGAGCCTTCACAGAAGGCTAAAGAAAAGCTGTTAGCCTTGAAATGTAATCGCACGCCTTACCATCACCGAGCCTGTCTTCACTCATTCACCACCTCTCCAAGCAAATATTCAGCACAAAGAGCAGAACGGGAACCCCAGCTGGTCTTCCATCAGGACAATTACGTGGATATATAAATGTTTTAGAGGGACATCCAGAAGAAGTTTATACTACATCCAATCTGGAAAGAAAACAAGGCTTTAGTTAAGATTCAATTTCAAAATCAGACATCATCAGAGTAACTTCTTATGGAAGACCTCCTGGCAGTAGCGCAAAGTCAAGCACACCAACCACGCACAAACATGCCTATAGTAAGGTGCAAGTAGTAGAAGCAAAAAGCAACTTCACAGAAATCTTAACTGACTTTCACCAAGTGCTATGCCATAACTGCATGTTCTTTCAGATTAAAGTACCATGACAAAAAAGTAAATAAAATACTCCAGCTAGTCTTGAGTAATGCCTCTGAGAGTTTTTCGCAGCATTATTGTACCTTAAAACATATTAAGTTAACAGAGAAATGGAATGAGAGCATCCACAAACAGCGTAATTCCACATATAGAGAAGCAGCTGTGTAAAATATCCCACCCGTAGACAAAACCAATGAGGGCCAAACACTGAGCTTGAAAATGTCATATATAAATCCACTAATAACATTAACCGAGAACAGGCATCAACTACCAGTATGTCAGTGACTCCTCCTCATATGTGTAAGGGTCTTGGTGAAGCCTACAGAACCCGAGCTGCATGCCACAGCCAGCAACAAAACACTTAAGCCCATGTCAGTGCAGGTAGAAATGCTCCTGTGTAATAATCACCAATGGTTTGGGACCGGGAACGGTTTGGGACCGGGTATTAGAGAAATGGGGCACTACAAGTCCCCTCCGAGCAGGAAATCACATACTCGGCAGATGCCAAGCTATTTGAGAGGAGAACAAACCTGAGCTGCAGGTGTGAGTGGTGAAAGGGAACATGGTGTTTGTGTTATGTCTATCCACTTCCCTCCTTGGACAGCCAGCACCTTGCATCCCACGGCTCAGCAGAGCATCCTCCACCTCACTGTAAATATCAGGGTCTTAACAGTTTAATACCTAAGGGTATCCCTCTGGACAAGGAGTGTCAGCTACGTGACTAACCCACCCAAGGCCTAGCAGGCCTTCCACCACCAAGTAAATCTCTCTGAACCGGAAGCTATTTAATTTTGCTTTTCTGAGATGCCAGTAAGGAAATCTGAAGATACCAGCTCTGAAGTGCTCACACACAACATCCTTCAAATCATACCTATGCCAGAGAGCAGAGCTGAAAGCACCTTACCTTTAGTTTTACTAATAGATCTCAAATGTGCCTCTTACTGCCTGACATAAATCTGGTATTACCAGTCACGTGGCTGGCAGCGGAAGCTTTCGGTGGATTTCTGAGGGGAAACCCGGGGCTGGGGCTCCAGCAGCACTGCAGGCAGCGTGCTGGAGCCGGTGGCAGACCAGAATTGGTCGAACCGACCGGGATTTTCAAAACTCGGATCGTTTTTCATAACTCAGCCCGAACTAGACAGCTCTTCCCCCACCCTTTCCAGGGAGGGGACCCAGGGCCGGTGTCGGTAGGCGTCCCGCGGCAGGCTCGGCTCCAGGCCTGGGAAGCACCGCACCCGTCCCCGTGAGGGGACGCTCTGGG